TGAACCACCAGCCTTCTGGTTAGCAGTCAAGTGCCTTAGGCACTATGCCACTAGAGCTCCCATTTTGCCCATAGAATCCTTCAATTTTACAACTCAAGCTTGATATTTTTCTTCAGTTCTCTCAGCTTGAGAAATACCTAATGTGTTTTTCCATTCTGGTTTTCTAATTCCAGGTCTTTGCACATTTCAGTATAATGCTTTACTATGTTTTCTCAAGCCCCCTTTAAAATTTTCTGTTCATTTCTTTCATTTCATCACTTCTTCCATTCACTTTAGCTAATCTCCATTCAAGGGCCAGTTTCAGAGTCTCTTCTGACCTCTATTTTGGTCTTTTCTTCCTTTGCTTTCTTTTTAATTACCTTTTGCTTTATTCATGGATAATGTTCTTGATGTCTTCCTACAACTCATTTGGTCTTTGATCTTGGTGTTCAATTTGTCAAATCCATTCTTCAGATAGTCCCTAAACTCAGGTAGGATGTAATCAAGGTTGTATTTTGGCTCTCATAGACTTGTTTTAATTTTATTCAGCTTCAACTTGAACTTTGCATATAAGCTATTGATGGTCTGTTTACAGTCACCTCCTGGCCTTGTTTCACAGATTATATTGAGCTTTTCCGTCACTTCTTTCCACAGATGTAGATGATCTGATTCCTGCATATTCCATCTGGCATAGTCCAGTTGTATAGTTGCTGTTTATGTTGTTGAAAAAAGATATTTGCAATGAGTATTTCATTAGTCTTGCAAAATTCTATCATGTGGTCCCTGGCATCACTTTTTTCACAAAGGCCATATATTCAAACTACCGATATAGTTTGCCTGCTTTGATTATACAATTTATGAGATATGTCAGTAATCATCAGAGGATAAGGATTAAGGAAAATCTTTAGAAGGGGTCAGAGTAAGAGAACAGTAAGTTCTCTTATATTTCAGAGAAAAAAGAGTCCTGATGTTTTTCAATACTAAATAATCAACTTACAATAATAGAAAAGTTGAAAAACAAGAAAATTCACATAAAGGACAAGTGCATGTCAGAAAAAAAAAAGAAAGAAAGAGCAACATGGGATTAAGAAATGAGAATTGATATTAAATAAAAAGTAAAATGAAAGTGTGTAGTTAATAAAGTCTTGGGGTTTTATTAGTAAAACTTTTCACAGGACACCAGTGTAAGTTGAAATGAACAATTTTCTAAAAGTAAATCCAAATCCACCCAAGTCCACTGCCATTGAGTCAATTCTAATTCATAGAGACACTGTAGGACAGAGTAGAACTGCCCTATATAGTTTATGGAAGCAGACTGCCACATCTTTCTGCCTCAGAATAGCTGATATGTTCAAACTGCCAAACATTCAGTTAGCAGCTGAGCTCTTTAACCAGTGCACCACCAGGGCTCCTTTAAAAACCAATATTAACAGAATAATAAAAAAGATTATATTTACTTGCCTCATGAATCTAATGTAAGAACTTTCTGTAATCACCCAAGTCAGAAGGATTTTATTAGTTTTTGAAAAATTAAACCAGAAATAGAGATGCCAATAAAAACTACTATTGAGAATCCTTCATGGGCTTGTATTTTTCTAGCTGCTAAACCTTCAGAAGGTGAAATGACAAGAAATCCCTAGGAAGTTCACTGTGATAGCATAGAATAATATGACAACACAGTTTTCAATTATTATTTGGTAGAACTCTAGGGTACAGTGTACATAATATGTAGAACATACTTTTTGCCTATTAAGGCCACGTGAAATTATATTCACATACCTACTAAACTTTTATAGAAAAGGACAAAACTGATGATATCTAATATTATCTCTTTTTTTTATGGCAATAAGTCTTTATTTTTTGTGTAGGGTTCCACTGCGGGTTAACGATTCAGAGAACACACTGCTATAATACAGAACTGAACAAAAAAATTTTAGCATGCTGCCTTGCTGTACATGAAAACTGGTGCACTTCTTCAGAGACTAAGACTAGAAAATAAAGTAGGTTAACTCCATTTGTTGATACGCTTATGAATCACTCAGCAGTGCTATTATAGGCTGCCTTTACCTGAAAGCAGAATTATAATCATTCTGGCAGCCTCTGGGAAATTCCTAAATGCAGGTTTAGTGAAGGGTCCAATGAGCAAGAAAGGGACAAATGTCATGTCCCCATCCTCAGGGGAGACAGATTTGGAGCCTGGCTCTGCACATTTCAAGGACTAATATGACCATATTAACAGTTTAATGTTGAGTTTCCCTTACCACATATATTGGCAATAAGCATTAATTGAGAACTTCTGAAACATTAACTGAATACATTGAGGTTTTAAAAGCAGAACACAGAATTGCTTTCACAACTTTTGCCCAGTTCTCACCTGCTGTCCTGCAAAAACCCCTCATGTGATGAATTTTACTGTAAGCCTCTAACATTTGTAACAGACCTTTTTCAACCCTGTTCTAGATATTAAGTACCAGAAACAAGTGCCTGTGAAGTATA